GTTTATCTCTATGTGCCTGTTGATGGCTGCCTTGTCTGAATACCAAGCTTCCAGGAATTCCCTCACATTTTTGGATTTAGCTTGGTCTAAGATGCTGACAGTTTCCCAGCTGAAACTATGGTTAAGTTTGTCCATGTGTTGCGAGATTAAGGAGTTTTCATCATGTCTTCTGAATGCTAGTTGGTGTTCATGGATGTGCTGTGCAAGCCTTCTACCTGTCTGTCCTACATAGTGGTTGTTACAGTTCTTATACTGTATGTTGTAGATGACTCCTGTTTTTCCTTCTTGGGCTATTGGGTCGTTTGGTTTGCTTAAGATGTTTTGGAGGGCTTTAGTTGGTTTGTGGGCTATGGAGATGCCATGTGGTTGTAATAGTCTGTCGGTAGTTTCCGAGACATTTCTGATGTATGGCAGTGTTATCCTTTTCATAGCTTATGCTGGTTGTGTTGTAGTAGGTTGAGTGGTCAGGCACTTTTTGATAAAGTTGTGTGGATATCCATTTTGTTGGAAGATGTTGTATAGGTGGTCTGTTTCCTTTTTCTGCTGTTCTGGGTTGCATCCTTAATGACACCAGACATATAAGCAGTAAACAGTACCTTAATCAAGGAACTACCAGAGGAAAAAATAGAACAAAACAAAACCCACACCCCCACCAACCCTGGCAGGGCATGCCACAGTATATAAACAGAGAGCAAACCCCATTCCAGTCTAGCATGGAAGATGTTACCTAGCTGGGTAATGAAACGTTTGCAAGAAAACAACCAAGCTCAGAGAACCCCAAGGACTCCACAGTTCAACCCTGAGCTACACATATTTGCTTCTATTGATATCATTTTATTGTTTCTTTTAAATTATGTTTCATCAATTTCAAGTTTATGGCTTGAAATGTGCATCATGCCTCAAAATGGCAGAAAACTGCCATTTGGCAGTGCAGTTGGAAGATAGGGAGCTATAAAAAGGATTACTCATTGTTGATTTCTCGTTAATTACTGAAAGAGTTGGTAACTCAGTGTGAACTGACTTTTTAAAAGCTGTTTTAAAGTTATGTGAAAGTTCTGGGTCTGAGACTTAATCTCTAATGGTTTATCCCTGCAACTTATCATAATATGATGGAGCTAGAAAATACAGTATGTATACAAATCAACTAAGTACCTTCATCATGAGACATATTGTGCCTTTCTTTCAAATGAATTGCTACATTGCAAATACAAATCTAAAAAATTTTTAAAATGCAAAAAGAGCCAGTTTGGTCTAGTGGTTAAGGCACCAGGCTAGAAACCAGGAGACTTTTGAGTTCTAGTCCTGCTGAAAAGCTGGCTGGGTGACTTTGGGCCAGTGACTGTCTCTCAGCCCAACTTACCTCACAGGGTTGTTGTTGTGGGGAAAATAGGAGGAGGGAGAAGTATTAGATATGTTCACTGCCTTGAGTTATTTATAAAAATAACAAAGGCAGGATTAAAAAAAAATCTAAAAAAAAATTAATTCCTAACTAGATATTATCATGGAAACTTATGGCTTCTCCAATCCACATCTCCCTAATGTCATGAGATTTGACCCATTTTGCAATCTGGCTGGGGACTATGGGTGAGAAGTTGCCATGCTCTGTAGGAATAGAATTTCAATCTCCAGAAAAATTTCCAAAGTGGGACAACTAAAGGATATCTTTATCTAGCATTGAGTAAATAAGATATGTTGGGGATACTGTTGGGGTATCAATCTCTCTGTCCAAGGTGGAGGAGGTAGTCTCTATTGTGGCAGTGGAGAGCTCCAGGATAATCCTAGAGGATTTCACGTTCATGATGATATTGCCTAAATAGAGCCATCCCAGGATTTCATGACCTCCATAACAGCCCTAGGTTTATTTCAAATTGCTATTGAACTAGCACATAGGGTAGGGCATATATTTGATTTAGGTTTTTGCCTCAGTACATGTGGAGGTGACCTGGAAACTAGGTTGTCATGTTCAAACCACTATCCGGTGAAGTTTGGTCTCCAGCATCACTGTCCTGCAGAGGTAGATGATTAATTAAATTGGTCTGCCTCCAGAAACTGATGATCGGACAAATTTGTGAATGCTCTGGAGAAATTTGAAGAAGCCAGAAACCATCAGAGCTTGACATTGTTGGTGCCCTTGGGAAAACTGAACAGGTCATTTGCAGGATTGTCCCTAAATGTTTTATATAATACTGTGGAGCTCAGGCTCCTCCCTGGTTTTCTGCTGACCTGCATGGGATGAAACAAGACAGAAAATAACTAAAGCACAAGGCTGATTCAACAAATATTTGTACACAGTCATGTCTACTGTATGCCAGTGAAGATTGCAAAGAAGTTTCCAGACCATTGATATTCAACCAAACTTTTAAAAGAATGTTTAAAGATTCATCTACCCCAGAAAATCCAATATTGGCACTCCAAAGATCTGCTGTAGCAATTTTGAAAGATACCTAAAAGATAAAATATCTAGTCTTCATCTAGATTTAAATGCAGCTCTTAATACAGTGCAGACTGAGACGTACAGTGCACCATCTGGCCCAAATGTATGGGATCTCCTTCAGTTTTTCAGGACATGGGCAATATTTTTGTACTATCCAGACTATTACATGCTCTCTTGAGCTAACTGAGATGTCTTGGCTTACTAGAGCTAACTGAAGGAGATTGATTGGACAGATCCGGGAACTGGTGAATGCATTTTTGCAAGACAGATTGTTGCTGCCAGCCTTGAAGGAAGTAATAATCCATCCACTCCTGAAAAAGTATTTCTTCTCGCCCCGGTTACTTCAGCCCGCCCCATTTGGTTCAGCAGAAGGGGCATGTTGCAGACCCCACCAGTCAAGGAATTTCACCTGGTGGGGTCTAGGCAGAGGGCCTTTTCTGCTGTGGCCTCCACCCTATGGAACAATCTGCCTCCCAAGTTCCGGTGTGCCCCCACTCTCATGGCCTTCAGGAAAGGGGTGAAATCCTGGCTGTGCCAGAAGGCCTGGGGGCCGGATGGGGGCTCGCACCAGTGGAGGTGGCTTGTGGGGTGATTGACCTTGCCCCCCCCCCATCATCATGAAAGTTTTTAGTATGTATGTACAGGGCTTGTTGTTTAGATCTGATTTTTAATGGATTATTTTATTTCATTGTTTATGGGGTATTTTTAATTGTTGATGGGGTTTTTGATTTTAACTGTGAGCTGTCCAGAGTCTCCTGTTGGGGGTAGATGGGCAGCATACAAATTTAATAATAAATAAACAAATGAATGAATGAATGAATGAATGAATGAATG